GATATATACATATAATATTGTAATCACCAAACACACAGAATACTAACAATATAATTTATCTAACAATATAATATATCTAAAATCGAAAATATAATATCTTCTTTTCAGGATTATCTATTCAATCAATAATTTTTCATCTTTTTTAAATTGAAGATGATACAATATGTCGATGCATAAAAGAAGAAAACATACACTTAATTACATTCGCGAAGTACTAATAATAGTGACGATAGGAAAGTGGTATGATAATAAGCAACGTAATACATCGCGTGTGCGAAAAACTCTTTGTACTTTGTGACTTAGCTCACGCATCAGCGACATACGTAGGAAGATTGGATTTATATCTATTGTACAGTTCGAAACACAATGCGCTTTTAGCCTGTGATCCGCCAACGGAATGGCGCGCGGCGGCGTCTAAATCTCTTCTTGGTTACGTTACACCACCTTAGTTCTATGTGTTCCCCTCAGTACCTCTTTACTGTGCTACTACGTACTCGATAAATTACATCCTTCGCGAGCGCGCAAATCCGCTTTACAATTGCCTTCGTAAACGATTGCGAAATCCCGATGATGCTTCTTCGCGAAAAATTTGGATGATCCTCGCAAAAATGTTTTTAAAATCTCTTTTCTCGATTCCAGATTTTTCCTTTCTTGAAGAAAGAGAATAACATCGTTTTTATTTACAATGCAATATAGTATAGATTTTATGCAATGAGATAAATTTATTATATTTTACTAGTTTCTTAGTTTCTCAATTCCTTTATTCTGTTTCTTAAATTATATTTTTTCGAGATCTTTTGTTTCTTTCTTTGTTTTAATTAAAATTTTCAATTTCATTATCTCGTTTGTTTTAAATTATGTACTTCTCGTGTCTATGTATGAAAAAATGGAGCACGATCAAATATCGTGGCGATTTAGTGTGAATGGAACACGAAAGAGAAGAATCAGGGCCTGCTCTGTTGGCGCATTTATATGTCTGTTTTTTACGCGTCGTTGAATTACCTGGTCAATGGCACGAGGGAGGCCCGTCGTTTCTGACCGTGTGTATGATTTTTCCACGAGGGCCCCTTGCGTTATTACCACCAACCGTACCTTCCTGACTTCTCCTGAATGGCGTTACGAGAGAGAAAGAGAGAGAGAGAGAGAGAGAGAGAGAGAGAGAGAGAGAGAGAGAGAGAGAGAGAGGAAGGGAGAGGGAAAGGCAAAGAGAAAGTCAATTTTGAATTTTATTTTTGATATGTATACTTCATAAATTATAGAGCTATTTTAATTTTTTCTTGTTTATTTAATCATCCTCGTTAAAGACTTAAATTCGCATTTTTAATTATTTTTATTTCACACAAATTGGAATTCAGAAATCTCTGTTTCATTTGACACGTCTTCTACACGTCTTCCACCTTTGTTTCCATTTTCTTCTCTCTCTCTCTCTCTCTCTCTCTCTCTCTCTCTCTCTCCCTCCCTCTCTCTCTCTCTCTATTTTTAACATGAGAATATGCTGTACTAAAAAATTGTGAAAACATTCTCAGAGCTCTACGAGAAGAAAATAAACAATTTTTGTTACTTGTTGTTTCTCTGTAAAGTTGATAGTTTTTGAGTAAAAAATTATTGAAAATCAATATTTAGCGATTTTTGTTAATTATTGTGAAAATTGTAGAGGACTTTTCGACTTAGTTTAGTCCGCTCTATCCCTATGCGAAAGTTTTATTATTACTTATCAAATACTCTGTATATCATTTGAAAGAAACCTTTTTATGTTAAAGCCTGCAATTGTCAATTCTAGAGTTAGATAAATCTGTAATTCGTAAGATCTACTTTGAATATCTATATAAACTTCGCAAATTATGGGCTTACTTCATATTTATGTTGGAGTCTACAATTGTTAGTGCTAACCTGAGGTAAGTCTATAATTTATGTCATGTGATCCACTTTAAATATGAAATTATATTTAGCTTATCGTTAAAGATATAAAATGGGGCTATTGAAATATTAAGCAGTAGAATATAATGATAGGCTAATTTTGAGAAATTAAAATTTTCTATTTGAAGGAGATATTAAATTTCTTTTTTATGAAATTAAATAAATAAAATGTTATCAATGGCTGAAATAACTTCGATACAATTTTTTTCTAATTTCGCAGAGAACTATATTTTATTTTTTTATTATTAAAAAGCATCGATATAAAATCGATAAATTTTTGAATTTTTTCACTGTTTGCAATTGTATTCATATTATATATTATTCATTGTATATATTTCATTATTGTAACTGTATGAAAATAGCATGCGATAAAAAGAAATCACGAAATTGTTAGTACAATAGATTTCTTAACATAATATTATGTATACAATTAATTGCTTTGCATAAAATATATTTATTTATATTTTATTTATTTCTTCATAATTGAAATATTGAAATTGATTTTCATCAATTTGAAATGATTATTTCAATTTCGATTTAATCTTATCTAATCTTATCTAATTTTTTTGCAAAATTAAATATTATGATTGAAAGTTTATAGCCGATATTCATAATTTCTTATACATATTTAAAACTATTTTAGTACAGTTTTAAAATGTCATAAATCAATCACAAAGCCATATTAGCATCTTAAGATATTACTTATTACATTTAAAGTGAAGCGTGATCGTGCAGTGACTTTTCGTGAAAAAGTGTCAGCGTCAAATAAAATGTTTCTCAACTCTCGCAAAGTTTTGCAAAACGTTCTGATTCGCTGTCTGTCAATGCACCGAAATATAACCGCAATGAAGCCTTACCAAACAACTTAGAGTTCTAATCAAATTTTTCTAATCTTTTCCTCGAATGGTTTGGCTGTCATCGCATGTACGTAAAGACACATACATTTGGAGATATAAAATTACACACTTTGTAAAACTTTTAAAAAATTTTTCAAATAAGATCTAAAAAAAATTTCCAAGAGATTTTCAAAGAATTTATAATTTGGTATCACTGATGTCTTTCACAGTACGAGAAGAGACTAGTGACTGTGTATGTAATTTAGAATTATGTCAAAGATATAATTCTGAAATGCATGAAAAGTTATATATAGAAAGTTTTTTGTCGATATCATTATTTTGAACAAGATGTAACTACACATTTCTTTTTAAGAAATACTTTCTTCGATATTAAAAAAAAACTGATATTTCACATGAACATTAACGAAGATACAGATGTACCTTCTCAACTATTTTATCGAATTATATTGTTTCTTTCATTGATCATCCGAGAATATATGAAAATTGACTTGGGAAAGCTCGAAACATTCGGTCACCACTTTCAAAGAAACCACTATCAAGAAACCAAAGAGATCGGCAACGCGAAGGATTGAATTCTTCATTTTCTTTTCTTGTCGCGAAATAAAGGCGGCTCTGGTCACCATGCCAACTCGAAGAAGGTAAGGCGAGCGATTCGCGTGGGCTACCGCCGCTAAACTGAGAGCGTCTACACCAAGGGGCACACCTGAATCCCGTGCAGCGTCGGTCACTACCTTACTACAACACATAGTATCCCGACGCTATAGTGCATTACGTCGTACTATATCGGGTGACTAATTCAATAAAGCAATCCGCTATCTTCCGTATCTTTTTTCCTGCTTGCAACGCTATTTTAGTTACAAACAAAAAAACATATTTCACAATGACGAAAAACGGTGGTATCTTCTCCGTGAACAAACTGAACAAAAACTTAGAGATCTTAGATCGGTAATTATAGTTGGTTCTTATTTTAAAATCATCATAAATCTTAAGCAAAAATTTAAAATGCTTTTAAAATGCTAATACTGTGTGATTGACGTATGATATTTTAAGATTATTTAAGAATATATTACACGTATTTTTTAACAAAATGTCGAAAAAATATCGAAAAAAAATCGAAAAAGTATCGAAAAAATTACAGATTTATTTATACTACTGTATTTGAAAATAATACAAAACATTTAGCAGCGATTTAGAACGTAGGTTAAAAAATTATTTCACATAAGAAGTGTAAATGTTTTTAAAAAATAACATAAAATGAAAAAAAATTTATTTAAACTATAAAACTGTATTGTTAAATATAAATATAATGACATTATCGAATTGTTTCATATGTGCATAACATTTATTTTTATACGAACCAAATTTCCAATTTACTTTTGACAGAGATTATACACATCCTTAAGACAGTTTTAAATATAAGAATTTTATTAATATCGGGGCTTTCGAAGTTTTGCGATTCCATCTAGAGTAATTCATAAAAAAAAAATCTATTCAAATATTTATTGTATTTTTTTCTTATCTTTGATATCGATCAAAATATAATCATATCAAAAGAAGATTCTTAATGCAAGAGTGACGGGAGTCGTGGCTTTTTTACAATCCGACGAATTAATGCAATAATCACGTCCGCACATTTTATTATTCCTTGCTCATCGAGCGGTGATTCTGCAACACCCCGTATATTCGCGTCGCAGGTGAGCGGACTATACAGTGCCAGCAGGGAACGTTGTTACACTATTATTCCTATGCTGTTTCCCTGGGCCCTGCTTCGCTTCGCCTCACCTGCTGCCCACCGCCCGCTTCGCTCGCCGTCGCGCCACGTACGGATGATTCCGTGCTAAAACGATCATACTCGGGCAAGAATGGACGGTAGGGATGAGCAGATAAGAATTTTATTCGGAATTTAGGACGAAAATCTTGAGATTCATGAGCGAACGGACTCATGAATCTCAAGATTTTATGGCTCAAAACGTGGTGATAATAAGCTGCCATCAATTTAACATGTAACGATGCAAAGAAGATAACAATGAACGAATTAGTGAAAGGATACGGGTGTCAGACGGTTGAGGAATATAACTGAAGTGAGACTTGATATATCTTGAGTGAAACATTTGAGATATTAATTTATGATAGCTTGCTGTAGATCCACTTTATATAAACTTTATATACTTTATATAAATTAAGCATACCTTTCATCTATTTTTTGTTTCATTCTTGGCAAAAATATTTTTGTGAAACGTTAAAGGAGAAAAAGATGCATCGTCACATTTTGATGTTGATTGCTAATCACTTCTCGTCAACAGCAAATACAAAATCACGACCATTCCGGCGTAGAAAATGAGAAAGTACATCGACAATAGAAACGTGATTGACAATTGGAATATTCTTGATAGCGTCATGTTTGCAGAAAGCACACACATCGAAACAAATCACGAAAAAACTTACAAAATAAAACGATCGATCCCTGAGTGAATTATGTGATTTGCGCTCGACTCGGATTTTACAATTGATATCGAGTAAAATCACAGGTATGTTTGATATGAAGATCGACATTGATTCGAAATATGCATGTCAAGCGTTTTATGTATTATTAAACTTTGAATGCATTCCTTTCTCACATTCCATTGAATCTCTCGTGGCTGACGAAATACGAGATTAAAAGTAATTGCTCTTTTAATATCCTTTAATTCTGCTCTTTAATCGTGCTTGAAACGCGATGCTTATCGAAAATGAAAATGGAGATTTCATTGAAGACATGAAGGAAAAAAATTGACATAATATCAAGTAAAAACTATTAATATTTCCCGAGATATTATTGAGATACTTAAGAATACTTAAGAATATAAGATCAATTAGCAAAATTTTCTTAAAACTTCTTTCTTAAAAGCGATAAAAATCAATAAGAATGTTTTTTCGATATTGTATTAATTATTCTTCTCTCATTAATAGATATCATTTCGTTAACCTATTCACGATACATTAATTACGGTACAATGTTATGAACTATTGTTCCGTACTTTCTACGAATTTTAGTTATAATTTTAGATATGATTTTATTATCGCAAAACACTTAGACGCAATATTAAGTCAAAAATGAATTTATTGTCTCGCAGTTTAAACGTGTTTTTTAAAAGTGACAATGAGACATCACTGGATTCGCACGGTTTTGTTAGAGAATACTGACCACTTTCAACTAGGACGTTTACTCAAAGGCTTCGATAATCGATGAGCTTATCATTATGAGTGGCTATATATTCTTTATATATGTAGATATATCTGTTAGTGAATAGAATATTTAGTAGAGAGTAAAGTACGTAGGTAATAAATAGAGTACGTAGATAATAAATAAACATGTAGTAGATAGTAAATAAACAAATAAGAAGGAGTATTTCTATGCATACAAATTTAATCAAAAATCTAGATAAGAATTTTTACTCAAATGAAAAATTATTCTCTTATTACAATAATTTTATTATTTTATTAATATTAATTAATCTATATATTAATTAATCTAGATATCTGCTGCAGATCGTAAAATGAGTTCAAGTTTAAGAATCAAGGAAAGTTCATTTCGTTGTAAACTTATTAACAAAGGAAAAAAAATCTCACAACATTTCGATTCTGAGCGATTGTTGCAAAAATAATGAAAACATATATCGAAAATTTAATTGAGAGTCGCGTGAGTACACGATTGAGCAATTACGACAATTATCGGCAGTCAATATGCAGCTAGACAGTCGCGAAAGCGAAACGATACTTAGCTATTATACGATAATTGCACTGTTTGTTATTATTAATTACGGTTACGCTTTTTAAAAATGTAAATAACTTAGAGAAAACAAACAAAACTAAAACTCTTTCAATTAACAACGAAGAAAATTTATATAATTAAATGATTCTAAGAACGAGTGTTAGTAAATTCTTTTCGATCCCTAATCCATTTAAATATGCAATTGTTTAAATAACGAATATTTAATACATCAAAGTTATTGTTTTAATGATTTAATTAGGAAAATTATATGTATATTTTAATAATTTTACAATTGCGTATTACAATTGTAATTACCTTGAGCATCGAACTGTCTCCTTCGTCGCAGCATCGTCCTTCCTTGCGAAGGAATTGGGCCTGTTCTGTCGTGGCCATCTTCATTGATTTCATCCTCGCCTGCGCTGGTTGCACTGTCGCGTTGCACAACTTCATCGCCATCGATTGTCGACGAAACCGAGCCATTACCATTTCCTCCGAAGAACTTTACTTTCCTTGCCAATTCTGCATATCCGTGCAAACCGGTCTCACTTAATCTACATGATAAACACAAAACTACAATGTGATTTCGGAGATTTTTTGCATCTTAAGAATGTAATTTTGCTTTTATAAAATTAATATAATTTTTTATTTTAAAATTGAAAAAAAATGTGTAACACACCAACGTTACGCTTATTTTAATATTTATACGTTTTTTTTAAATATAAATATTAAAGACACTTAATATCATCAAAGTGCATGAATAACACACCTAACACTTTCGCTGCCGCTACTTTCGTATCTTGTGCTACTGTTGGATTCTCTCCTGGTCCTCGTAATAGCGTCGCGTATCCTCTGGGAAGCGGAACAGGAGTCTCCTCCGGTTTTACGCGGCAATGCAGGAGTGGGTTCGCTCTCGCTCTCCCGAGGACTGTATCTCGACGATCTTGTACTCAATGGACTGGCTTCTGGCGATAAATGCTGTTAATAAAATGAGAATTCAATTAAACTTGCAAAACTTTCAGACTGTCAAGTGTACAGTAATATAATAACATGAGTAATATAAAATATACGTAATTAATTCAAAATTTGTAATTTAATTTGAATACAATTCAATTATTAATTAATTTATTTTTCAAAATTCTAAATGTGTTACCAATTATTATTATTATTACAATTAAAATTATTATAATATTTATAATAGATAAATATTATAGATAATATTTTACTATAAATTCTTCGAAACGTAAATTAAGTAGAATTTATTGCGATTAATATTATATTTGTAAATCAATCATCTTACACTTGAACAACGCTTATTTGGAGTGTCGTCAGTGTCATCTGGATTTGAGAATTCTTCTTTGGAGAACTTTCGTCGTACCTGTTTAAGGAATAATATGGACAAACAATATCGTAGTTAGAAGCGATATATTAAAGAGCTTTTGTAATATCGTTTACTAGACACGGTGAATGTTAACGTTATCTTCTTCTTAACAATCAATTTAAAAAAGGATAACGTGATTTTACCATTCACATCTGGATCTATATTATTGCAAAAACTTCCTATTAAGTAATTCGATAGTCATAAATATTATAAATAAAAAAAATCAAATGTATGTAAGTTTTCTCTCTCTTTATAGGTTCATAAATATGTAATCAGCACTTTTATGAATAAGACTTTCCTGCCACTTCCCAAGATATTATAATATTATTTCGTCATTTCTTACATAAGCAACAGAATAGTAGTGATTTTATTTTTTATGTTCTGTACTTTGCACGCTTGGAATTAGTTATTGCTTTAAAAAAAATTAAGCAGAAAAATAAATAAAATATATTTTGAAAATCTATTGTCTAAGAAATTTACTTAATAAAGTATAATAAATTTTAAAGAAAAGTCAAAATTTTGTGTGTAAAAAAAAGTTTAGATTTAATATAACTTGACAAAAAAGTTATTTATGTGAAAATAATGATTGATAAATATACAGAGTATTAAAAAACAATCATTCAACGCGTATTTATATGATAGAATGTAGATAGTAAAATCGGTAATTGTTGGAATTTTGTTTTCAAATTACATATATTGATAAATCCCGAGTAATACTAATGGAATCTGTAGCTAAAAATTGAAATATTTATCTGTACTTTAGACTAGATATATCATGCTAGATTCGTGAAGAACACGTTATGTTTTCAATTTTGATTTTTTGTAGGATAAAAATTTTATTTTCATAAAGAACTGTAAAATTATGAAATACGCATACTAGAATTATCATTATCTTTTTTTTATTAATAGAATGTGCTAACTTTACAGATACTACTTTTGGATATCCATAAAGTTAGCACGACATTCTAACAAGGAAATAATGACAGTTCCAGTAGCATTTTTTTTCATAGTTTTATAATTCCTTATAAAAATATAAAAAAAAGTTCCGTATGTTTTATACTAAAAAATTGAAAAAATTGCAGCACAAACTCCATTTATAAATAATTGTAGAGTATAGATTTCTGCTAGTACTAACGAGAAATGTTGCTAGAATTGGAATAAATTATCAGCCGACATCTTTTCTCCAAGCGTCGTGCTGTCTTTTATACCTATGTTTACTAAGGCTTTTAGACCTATGTTTACTAAGGCTTTTGTAGTACTACGCGTGTACTACCGTATAAATATTGAATGTTTTTTTAACGCCCTGTATAAGAATGTTCTAATAATGAATCTTTTCTGCCATAAGTATTAAATACGCAAGTTTTTCTTATTACTTATGATCATTTTTAATATCATAATTAATGAAAGTGAAAGTGAAAAGTGAAATATCACTAATTATATATTTAATTCTCAACAGAAAAGGCTCATGTTTCGCAAAGGATGTCGGTAACACCTTCACACACACACGCGCGCGCGGATACGCCCGCGTGTATCGCGCCCACATGTCACAAACAATACACAAGCATATTCACTGACCACTTGAAACTCGTCCGGCCTCTTTCCATAACCGATCTCCAGTGAGCCCTTTCTTTCATTGGTGATTCCAATGACGTCACCGTCACTGCCGATATCCAATAATTGTTCCGTAGTGTTCCGTGTTTCCTTTTCGTTGTTGTTTTGCCTCTGATTTTCCACGATGGATTCGATTGGTTCTCGGGTCGCTAGCAAATGCTTCTCGTCCCCCTTGTTACCCAAGACCATCGTATCCTGTTCCCGCATCCGTTCGTCCTGCGTCCTGTTTTCCGCGATGATCATATCGATCATCCTCGCGTCCTGGTGTTTCGCATCAACTTTCTCGTCTGATTGTGCGTCCAGTACTGTTGAGTCCGATTCGATCGAGGCATGTGCCTCCTTTCTTCCCGATGACGATCTTTCGTTGGCGTTGTCCTTGCCGTCCTCGCGTCTCGTTCTATTCGGTAACTCGTCGGTAACTTTCAACTCGGCAACTTTTGCTGCACCGCCCACAACCTCCGTTCTTTCTTGCTTCTCCTGTTGCTTTCCTTTCGTGGATTCTTTGATCGAATTCGCGTTGTCTCTGCCCACGTCCTCGCGACTATTTTCACGACGAAAGATCCTTATTCCTGACTTGTAGACTTCGTCCTTATTGGTGGACGTTTGTGAAATGGCAAGTGACGGTGACTTGCTCTCTTCCTTGAAATCCTTTCGTGCAGATCTCGATAAAGGACGGATGTCGTCTTTACTGTCTTGTCGCTTCAATCGCTCCTCCTTACTGCGAGAGGATAAGAGTTTTGGAATCAAGCTCGGCACGCTTATGTCCTCACGACTGCGACGCAAATCATCAGTGCTTCCTCTATATCTATAGAATAATAATGTAGATTAGTATTAATATATTAATATTAATAAGTAATAATATAATGTGTATAAATTATATATAAATTATTAAAAATAAAAAATAAATATGTACTTAATTATTTAATTATTTATATTAATCAAGAATTGCTTGTTTATATTTAATAATTAATAATTTCACTATTAATATCTATTGTTATCATGAATTCTCTCTCTCTCTTTCTCCTCTCTGTGATAGACAGGCTTAAACAAATGTGACGTACAAATCTAGAAAAAATCGTTATCTCGGAAACGACGACAGATACGACAAAATGTTACAAAACTATTTTTGGACCTGTACGTCACTTTTCTCTAGGTTTGTCTATCACAGAGAGGGAGGGAGGAGGAGAGAGAGAGAGAGAAAGAGAGAGAGAGAGAGAGAGAGAGAGAGAGAGAGAGAGAGAGAGAGATGATATTCATTTTAAAATAATTTGTTGATAAAATTAAAGTCATGTTTAACACTTATAAAATAAAGAAGAAGTACCTTTGAGGAATAAGCGATCGCTTGGGTGACTCTTGTGGGCTCCGGATATCTTCGAACTCTTTGGAGCTCCTTTTAAAAATTGGAATATTTGATTTCCTCTCGCCATGCTTCGTTGGGCTCGGTTTTGTGTCCGGAGATATAAACTTTGTGAGGATTCTTGGCGGTTTTATAAATGATATTCTCGGTGTGCACTGCTCCTGCACAGGATCCTCTTGCTCTTTACCCGAGCGTTCGCTTCTCTTATTAAATCTTATAATATCCAATGATGGCACTTCCTCCTCTTTAACGATTGGTTTCTCTCGTTTTGTTCGTTCGTTAATCGATGTGCTCTTCTCGATCGCTTCAATTGCATCTCTATAGTTGTTACCGGCATTCTCAGCGCAGTCCTTTACGTCCAATCTGCCTTCTCGCAAATTCTCAAGCTTCGATAATGTTCTGTCATCGAAGTTTGAATCCTTTAATGGATCTTGATAATCCTGATGGCGAGATGGTAAACTGCGATATATTCGCAATTCTGGAGACTTTCTCGCAGCTAACCAACGTGTTGGAGGACCTTTAGAGAAAATAATTTTTTTTGTGTATAAATTCTCTGTGTGTCACATGCAGAATGAAGCGGAAGCAATCATGACTCGAGGAACGTGAGGAAACAAGTAGGAAATCAACATGAAAATTACTATAATTGTAACATTAATTAACGTTCTCTAATATTTCTCTAATAGCTTTCGCTGTCTATTAAAGACGAATTTTCTTTTTCTTCGTACTTTCTACCGAGTCATCGACGGAAGATTAATTATATTATACATATTGGAACGCACCATTAATCGTCCAAGCTCGTCGGATGCTGCGATTCAATATGTCCACTGGAATATGTGCTGTTTTCTCGCTGACAGATTTGCTGGAAATCGAACTTTCGTGCATCCACTTACCGGTAACGACGTGTAATTCACTGCAAATTGAACGGGTTTGAAACTATATGAACGCATATAAAAAACGTGCAGAAAACAAAGAATAGCGCGATACGGAAAAGACGTATTCTCTATTTTAATTTGGCATTACTAAAGTTTCACATATTTCATTTGCTTGTTATTTTGTCTCCGTAATTTTATTCTATTTGCATTAGTCATCGAAGTTATTTTTATAAAATTTAACAAGAAATTCTTGAAATATTATATAAAAATCAACGAGATTTTATTTTTTATTTTGGAGACATATTTAACGCTTTTTTTTACTAAAATGTTCTAGTCATATTTTTTTTGTATATTGCAATACATACATATTATAAAAGCAACATATCTTTTTACTATAATTATTATTAAATTTAATAAACAACTATTATTAAATATTTAACTAATATTAAATAATAAACAAAATTGACATTTAATGTTTGATATTTAATCTTTCGCAAAAATTCCTTGCAAAGAAACGGCTGAGTTTGGGAAATTTCAAGTGAGATACTTACGCAATCTTGTAGCAGACGTTGCAGATCCACTCGACTTCTTTGTCATCTCCTGCGTGGTTTCTGATCTCAATGCGACATTGCCGGCATACGCGGTGTCTGCAGCGCATGCAAGTTGTGCCAATATTGTAAAATCTACCAAACGACGCACTGCATCGTGCGCAT